CCGAGTCAGTTAAAGTTGGTGATTCAGGGAGTTGAAACAGTGTCCACGTCAGGATTCCGTTCACTTCACATGTTGAAATTAATGAGTCCTCACCACTGTGACCTGTTCAGGGTCTCTAAAGTGTGTACTTTGGAAAAAGCTCCAAAGTTCAAAAGTGAAAGAGCTAACCGCTCACGTACAGTCGTCATCCGCGCACTTGATTAGGCGGCCGAAGGTCGCGACGCGGCTGCGGCGCGTCACAAGCGCGGCGATCAGCTGTCCTTTTAGCTGCTTTTCTCAAGATTCCTTGTCTTCACAGGATAAATTATGATTAAGATTCCTCTGATTTTCGCGTATAATTAAACAGTTAAGCAGACAATTGGACAAATAATTGAAAAAAATCGAATGTACTCTGTTGCAAAGATAAGAAAGACTCCACGTCCTAATGTACTTCATAAAGACAATAAAACAACTTACCTTGAAAAAAAATAGAAAATACAGTGAAAATTAGGGAGAAAATGGCCAAATTAGGCTGGAAACAGCTGATCGCCGCGGTCGTGACGCGCCGCAGCCGCGTCGCGACCCTTGGCCGCCTAATCAAGTGCCCGGATGACGACTGTAGTCCCGATGGCCCCGCCCCTCCCCTGGGTCACGCCCACGGAACATGGCCAGTAGTTTGGAAAGGGCCTATGCGGTAATTCACCACGAATTGGTTGAAAATTCGACAAAAGTAACACCAGTATAGCAGAACGGGTGATATGAAAGCCATTCAGTCCCTGCCTAGCAATAGAATTAGACTATGTTTAATGATTGATGATTAAAGGAAAAAAGAAGTGAATGAAAAATGTGTAAAAAATCTGACAAAAATGGAATAATTCGGTACGTTCATGCAAAACCTCATGGGTCGAACTTTGCCCTCGTTTCCAAGTAATATGGCATTCTGACTTAATTGGACTGCACTATCGTAGTGCAAAGATAGTACCAGCAAATCCACTACGATCCTTATCGTTAGTAACGCAACCAGTTATTTGCTGAAATGACCCATGATGTTGAGTTCTTGTGACCTTAATGCTCGCTGTGCGGCATTGTAATCTGGATATAAAAACCTATCCTTATGTTTAGAGACGAGACCAGGATTTACGTGAGCATAAATGTGAACAATTATCTTTCTGACCTTCAATATCTGATTCAGTAGCGGGAACTCAATAATTATCCGTCAGTTCAAATAACATTACAGTCTTGTTTGTCAGTTTGTTTGTGTGTATTGGTCCGCGTTAGAGGGATGGCTTCGGCGAGTCGCCAGCCCGTTTCTTCTTTTTCGTTCAGCCAGCGACAAGCATGTAGCGCGCCAAACCCAAGCGCACTGACACGCCCCATAATACGCAGCGAACAAGGCTGGGGCTATACAAACTTTGCGCTCTTTCGAGAGCATTATGTTCCGGAAAAGTTTGTTGCCTTAATTCTAACTCCTGTGCAAATTGAATATTTAGGGAAGATTGGCGAAGATTTTGATGGAAATGAAGAAGGAGCACGAAGAGGAGAAGCGGAGTGGAGTGTACCAACCAAACTCAAAGGTGCTCTACGCAAGTATGGGGAAGATGGCATTATACCTACTTCCTGGTATGCTATCTTGCAATATACAATTCGCTATGTTTAATTCATAACTTCCTTCAGATCAGTCCTGAAGAACTCAAATCGATAAGTGAGGTAGGAGGTTAGCCACGAACACTACTGTTTGGTGGCAGGAGGTGATAACAGTTGACGAGGGCTGACAGGGGCCTTAAAGTGAGGGGTCATCAAATTCATGGCTCACATCACAGCAACGGAGGAACGTAGATTCCAAGAAGTGATATAGGGGGCTGGACATGAACATCGGTGGTGAGTGCCAGGAGGCGAGAGCAGCTGCAATGGCTGCAGCGACCCTCAAAAGGAGAGAGTCACCAAATTCGTAGGGCGAGCTACAGCAACAGTGGGATGTTGGTTCCAAGAAGTGATATAGGGAGCTGGACGTGAACATCATTGGTGGGTGGACAGGAAGTGATAACAGCTTACAAGGACTGACAAGGGGCCTCACAAGGGGAGGGTCACCAAATTACAAAACTCGCGTCACAGACATGGTCTGAACCATGCGCGCAAGTGCGCGTGAGCCACTGGTTTTAAATATGGTAAATAGACGTCCTAAGAAGGTAATTACAGTGGTAGATGTGATGCTGCTCGATGGCCAGCGAAAAGATAACTGACGGTTGCTACGCGTAGTACTAGATTCTCTACAGAATACAAAAAAAGACACAGCAATCAGTTGAGCGGGAGTGTCTTCCTGCCCGAATTAGACCTGTAAGCAGCTCATACTGGGAGGGAACTACCGAAGGAGAAAGTAGTCTCTAAGCCACATATTTTAAAACTGTGTAATATACACGTCACGAACATATCCTAGTCTAGGTCTTCCCTGCATGCCCATCTCGTCGAAGATTTATGGTCGAAAGCTCTGAGATGTGGTAGACGTGGCTGCGCACTTCAATAGACGTGGCGGTGGCTACGCTTTTGGTGGATCACTTTGACACAGTTGTGGTCATGTCTCTGACCAGCACTGAATAGATGACAGTAGTCTCAAAATGGGATATCTCACGAGTAACCCATCTTACTTTTCGTCCTTCCGACGTCTTTATGGGAGTGGTTCAGTCATTTTGTACACTCCTTATCCCTGAGCCAGAGTAGGCGTGGCATTTGAACATGGCACGGAACTGGTTACTCGTGGAATATTCCAGTCTGGGACAACTGTCATCTTGTTCTTGTTGGACAGAGACACGACAACAATTGTGTCAAGATGAAAATATCTCACCAGAAGCATAGACACCTTCAGGTTAAGTTGAAGCATGCAGCCACGCCTACCCGATCTCAGGGATTTCGAGTATATAGCACCTCGAGGACCTGGAAGGTCTGACGACAACAATGGGTTATGATATATTTACAAGATAGACCAGTGCAGACGAACTGAGTGAGGGATTCATACTTCGTCGTCTCAGACTGCGAATCGACGACGTATGAAATCGTCGTCAGAGGCGACAATAGTCTTACCCCTCTTCCGGGTATTCAAGGTTTGTGCTCGTGCTTGTGCAAAAGCATGAATGAGCTTCTACGGTTTCTTCAGCTTTTCAGCTTTTTGATCATTTTGAAGACAAATGTAAATCCGAATAAGTCAACCAGTTGCAGTAGTATGCCTTTTTCTTCGCTCAAGACTGCACCGGAGAAGGCTGAAGAATGGTGGTACACCGGTGCCAATTTCACACTCCGCCTCGTGCGATACTATCTGGCTTCTACTCACTTCTGGTTGTTCTCTATCACTGAATAGGTGTTTCGCTGCTGGACCTTGTATGCGCAAGTGCTGCCCCTTGAGTGTAGCGAAGGCGAAGTATGGAGCTGGCACCGAGTATCACTATCCAGTTCCCCTGCACTTTAAGCTACGAAAGTGGCCCGCTAGTGCAGGTGCGGACTCTTTCACCTCGCATATGGTAGGAACCGTCCTCACAGGTGGGTGTTCAGTTTTTCTTTGAAGCCACTAAACACCTAGAGAACCCCACGACTAGCCTCGTTCTTTCAGAGGTTGTACTCTTGAGTACGCTTTAATCTACTTTCCATATCCTGAAGATGGGGAGGGTGTGGATGCGTTCTTCATTTGAACAGGATAATATCGTAAGATGCGCTTCTGGTAGAACATTTTCATTTGGAACAACTCTTGATCTGTCTTGTGCTGAAGAAAGGCATCATCACAAGTGTCTCTAACGAAATGATCTCGTCAGAAGCGCTGCCTACGCCACTTAGAATTGTGGTTCGCAGCCACGCCCTCTCCATTTCCGAGATATGGAGCTTATATGGGGGGGCTCCGATGAGATCATTCGTATTCTAGTTTCACTTTTCACCTGCGATGCTCTCCACTTGCCCTCTGATCCGGTTAATGATGGCCATAAAAATGCAAGAGGATGACAAATGATTCAGTAAACGCTGATCCCCGTGATATCCCCATGTCTGGTGGGACGGAGCCATATTGCCTTCGTACTTTGCTACGTCATATCTGCTTTCAATGAGTATTTTTTTCGATGAAAAGGGTCAGGTTCAATTTGTTGTTCATTAAAACCATTTCATCATTTTGATTTGATGTGGGGACGGATGGTGTCGTGGAAAGGGGCGGGCTTACCACGAGCTCGCTCCCAGGGTCAAATGCCCGAACGGTCCCAGCCCAAGTCAGCTAATCCTTCTTCCCTCTAGGCAAGATATTATAAATTGCTAGTAGATTTGTCTGGGAGAAACAGGACCCGTACTTAAACAATGGAGTTATCCCCTCAACTCATTGTACAGGCCATATAACACTAACAGGTCACTCCAATTCTGAACGAGAGTAGATTGCGTGTCTCATCCCACAGAAGGGATCGCTCATCGGCTAAGAATGTATCCTGTAACCAGAGCTCGATAGATTTTGAAGACTGTGTTCTATTTTTCAGAAGTTATGTTACGTGCCATCATTCTAGCAGTACTGGCCGATACAACGTACGGCGTAAGTCAGCTTTGATTTCCTCTATTGTTTATTTTGTTAAATGGGATGTATATACCATTTTCACTTTAAATTCACCACTTTTCAAACCAAATTCACCACTTTTCAAATCAAATTCACCACTCTTTTAGACCGGGCAGTTCACCAACCAGATCACGCCAGACACCACTGCGAGCCCCCGACGGCCACGCCTACTTGTCAGCGCGAGCATAGACAAGAAGCTAACTTCAGTATTACCGCCACGGTACCGTAACCCAAGACAGCGCCCTTTAAATTGTCCGTCTGTCGTAGGTGCGTTGAAAACATCAGCACGGGCATTGAAACTACATTGAAACTACGCCGATAATTTCCTCTGGGTGGAAGAAGACTGGTGTGTTTTGCATGTCGCTGTGAGGACTTTGATGTAAGGATAGGCTGATCTATCTTTCTACTCTTGCTTCAAGCACTTTGGTGGTGTTGCACGCTTGGTGTTAATCAGTGTGGGATAGAAACGGCTTTCAAAGCTCGCTAAAGTAAACATTAAATTGAGGTGGTACTGCGTTCGAATTATTAGCCTCATCGCCTCGAAAGGTGGAACAGGTGGTACTTGCATGTAGTTGGTCACGTTCTCAACTACGACTTTTCAACCTGGGAATTTTTTCACAAAACCTAGCTACATTAGTGAAATCATGCACTGAAGTAGAACAAACATTTACTGTGGAAACTAGAGGGCCAAAGTTGAGACGGGCACTGCTTGGGCACAGTTCCGCCAAGATATGAGGGAATTCTGTTAAAAACTTGCCACCAAAAACGTTGTCTACAGGAGTATTTGGTACTGCCAGTCACTATCCTGACCCTGAAGTTTCTTGTCAGCACTAAGAACCAAGTCGTGTTTGCACTCGAGACCCTGGATTACCTCTCCAATCTAACTACCAGCCTGTAGTGAATTGAGTCTAAGCTGTAGTTGCACCAAACTG